GGGACTCAAACCGTGGTCGACTACATGGGAGTCCAACGACATAGCCATTACATCAACTGCTGATCCCAATGACATATTTTCTATACAAAAATGCATAATAATTTTCAGACAATGCAATTTTAAAAATGCATGCTTGGGACCAGCAGATAGCATAATGGTTATATTGCTGGATTACCACATAGTCAACTGTGGTTCGAGTCCTGGACCTGGTGGCTTAAAACTCACACTGGGCGTGTGCGCGTGCATGCCCAAAATCCCAGGAGGAGAATGGAGAAAAGGAGATTGTGGTATGGCCATCCACCCTGGGGAATGATTTCTCACTTTCTGTCTTTCTCTCTAAAAAAAAAGAAAAAAAATGCATTCTTCCCTTTGCATTCATAATTCAATGAATCAAATTCAAATAACTGTCTTGGACCCACTGAAAGTTGGTCTCTCCATATTTTTCATTTAAGTAAAAACTAATTTTTGGAAAAGTGAAGTAAATTATAAACAAAGCCTGATCTTTGCACAGTTCTGGAGGTCTACAGCATTCTTCCTGGGTACTCTCAGTTCTCTCCTTCTCCCAGATAATGCCTTTTTAAACTTTTCTTACCTCTCCTTTCTCTTCTTCCTTTTAGAGGTTACAAGGACACTAGGCTTGGGACCAGCAGTTGGTGTAATGGCTATGTTGCTGGACTCCCATGTAGTCGACCACAGTTTGAGTCCTGGACCTGGTGGCTTAAACTCACGTTGGGCGTGTGCGTGTGTGTGTGTGTGCCCAAGATCCCAAGAGGAGAATGGAGGAGAAGGAATTGTGGTGTGGCCATCCTCTCTGGGGGGGTGATTTCTTGCTTTCTATGTCTCTGTCTCTCTCCGACTTTCTGGCAAGCACATGCGCCCTATGGAAAAAACCTCTCCAAAAAAAAAAAGGACACTCGGCTTACTTACGATTATGAAAAAAAATACTTCAAAATATTAATTAGGAAGCAATGTGACAGGCATTTATTTTAATCTCTTATATATGAGTTTATTGTATATTTTACAAATAATTTAAATTGGGTAATGCCATAGTATATCAAAAGAGTTTATGAGGTTGCCAGTTCACTATTGTGCTGCTAATGAAATAGTATACTGGGTGCTTTACAAAGAACAGAGATTCATTTGGCTCACAATTCTGGTGGCTGCGAAGTCCAAAGGTGTGAGGCCTCTGGTGCTAGTCACCACATGGTTTACAGAAGCAGAAAGGCCAGTACTTGCGAAGAGAGAGAGACGTGGGGAAAGTTGTCATCTTCCTTTTAGAACAACCCATTCTTGAGAGTACTCACCCCTTCTCACGAGAGCTAGAATTCTCTCCACCTTGCAGTACAGTGTTAATTCATTCATGAGAGTGATGCCTCCATGATTTACATACTTCCCACTCTGCCTCACCTCTTAGAACTCTCATCACCTCCCAAAACCATTACACTAACAACCAAATTCCAATGCATGAACCTTTGGAGGAAAAACCACTTTAAAATTTTGCTGTGTATATTTTTTT